GACCTTGCTACTTGTACAAAGAATTTGTACAAAAATGTTGACAAACCCTCACATGTGAGGGGGCCCACTTTTTATTTTCAATTTTTTATTCATGTGGGGCCGGCCATCATGTGAGTGTTTGTCAACATTTTTGTACAAATTCTTTTGTACAAGTAGCAAGGTCCTTTTGAAATATGTGTATAATTATTTTATAAGAGAATGTGTAGATGAAAACGAGTTTTGAAAAAAAAAATGCATTCTTGAAAAAATGGGGCTCAAATAGTAGCTTAGTTTATAAAGAGCGAATCTCATGAAATGTGTGGATAACATACTGTTGAAATAAATATTTGAATTTAAATGTTTATAAATTCATTAGTCGAATGGACGGTAAATAATTTTTGATTCTCAAATTAGCGCTTGGTTGGGAGAAATTATAATTGTAGTATAACCTATAATGAAATATAATGGTTAGTTTTCATAAAATGTGTAGATAATCCCCGAATGATCGGACAGTTCCTCTTACTCATTAATTTGACAAGTATTTTTGACAAATAATCTTGACATTTAATTTAAATCAATTTAACGCTCAAAATTTATCTATTAAAATACTATAGAATTCATTACTTACTTCCAAACACCCCTAATTACCATATATTAATCTCTAAAATCTCTCAACATCGCGATTTTCTATCATCTTATTCCATTCTCAATTACCACCCAAATTCATCATCTTTCTAGCAAAATTGAATCTCCAAACCATCACAGCCAGGAAAGAATTCCTTTGCCCATGTGTAAATTTTAGGGGGAGTCATATTATCATGTCAAATTATTTATTTAGGATAAAGTAGGATAAGAACTGAATTGATTTTTTTAGGTATGATTCTGTACGTATACAATTATTTTTCAGCAGAAATCTCACACGGGTTTTCGATTTTGCTATTTCGATCCTTTTGCATGGTTTTAAAACTGCATTATATCATGTTCTTGAATATGATTTTCCTTTAATATTCAAATCTAAAATTTATTGTGTGTGGTGGGAAAAAGGATATACCTTTATTTTCTTTTGATTTCAGCATAATGTATCATGTAGTTTTGAGCAGTATTGCATCAATTTCAGATTAATGCTCGATTCATCAGTGATTTAAAGGTTTTAATTGAGTTTTAATTTGATTGAAGCGTTAGTAAAATGGTTAATAAAATGTTATTATCTAGTTCCACAGGGAATACTTTAAAAATGAAGTATGCTACAATTTGTTTAAGAAAACATAGGTACGAGTTATTGAACAATGAATTTGATTATTGGTAATTCTATGCAATCAATGATGCAACCTATTATGGCAATCGTATACATATTTCTTGATCTGATGAGATTGGATCATCATCAATACAAGGCAAAGAACCTATGCAAAGAATCAGGCCATGGTAAGAGGATATGTCCCAAGAACCATGAGAAAAATGTAAATGGGCATACTGAGCAAATGGACTAAAGCATATAATTATTTTTTTTATTTCACTGAGAAATCAGCTTTTTTATGTGTTTGTGTACTAATTTGTTTTCTTTCGTGTAGGATCCAGATTTCAAGTTAGAATTCGAAGCCAAGCAATGTGCAAATGAATGTTGATGACAAGAGATTAACCTTCACTCATATTCTTGTGAATGCTGGTGTATGTACGGACGCATGCATGCTGGTGAATGTTGTTGACACGAGATTAATCAAAACAGACTGGATGCTTGTCAATACAAGAGAGCTGCACTTTGCTAAGACACATTCCGTCAACATCTCTAACCTTGAGTCCGAATGTATCAATGTCGTGATACTAGTTAAAGATCCATCTATTCTTTTTAGTATTTCTGATTTACTGCAGTTTTTTTCTATTAAGTAATATCCACTTTCATTCAATGTGAAACAAATGTGAGTATTCTAGCTAGACATTTTGTATCGCACTTTCTTATTTGGGATGGTTTGGAGAGCCCCCAAGCTTTATTTCCAAGACCGTTTTGGTTGATTAATTGAGACTAGACTGTCTTTCATGTATTTCCATTATTAATCCATTGTATTTGCATTCTGTAATGGACACCTGCTATTGCCCTTTTACTCATCTACAACAGCCTTTGACAGCAGTCTTTGCTATTGCCTCCATTGACACCGAG